AGTATCGCCTCAACTTTGCTAGCCAGTCAGCGAATGTCCTTGCAGTCAATGGCTTGGTTGAGAAAGCCTAGAGACGCTTTTCATAATAATGGTAACGCCATACCAGCGTAACCTTTCGAATGTCGAATCCAAGTGTCTAATATGAGTTTCCTTGTCTGGATTGACAACGAGAAAGTCGTCTGGGTATGTGTATACAAAGTCAAGACCGCGAAATACTTCGTCAATGAAGCGTTGGTATGTTTGTACCGCGTTCTAATGGCCAAATTGCAGATGTAGAAATTCAAAAAGTCCGAAAGGTGTAACAATAGCCTTTTTCGGAATATTCTCAGGTACCATCGGGATTCGGTTAAATGCTTTGACTAAGTCTATTTTCGCGAAAACATTTGCACCAGATAACGTTGCCGTCAAGTCGTGAATGTGAGGCGGTTGGTAGCAATCAGAGGTTGTTTTGGTGTTAAATCTACGGTAATCACCAGTGGGTCACCAGTCGTTGCCATATTTTTGGGTACCATGTGGAGTTGGGATCCCCATGGGCTATTCGATGGCCGAATGATGCCAAGGGTGAGCATATGCTGGAATTCATCCCCAGCAATTCGTAGTTTGTCAAGAGCAAGTCGTCGTGCTTCAGATGTTGCGGGTTGTCCTGAGGCTGTGATGTGATGCATAACATTGCCGGTTATGCACCGCGGATTGTCAGATGGGTAATTAAGGTCCGGGTACTTATCAACAATCGGCTGAGAAGTTGGATTAAAGATCTCCTTCTTTTTAACCAGTGAAAATATGGGACCTATGTAGGCGATAACACCAATAGACAGCCTAGTAGTACCATCTATCAGTCGTTTCGGTGGACATCTACGAGTAGATCATGATGATTGAGTAGGTCTGTGACAGTGAAAGGCACAGCGACGTCAATAATAGGGAAAATCAACTGAATAGGCTTCAACAAGCCTACGTTCAGATAGACGCATTTCCTACTAAAGGTTTCAGTTGGTTTTCCATTTGCAGCCTGTAAGTTGAAGGTAGGTTCCTTCTAACGATCTGCTGCGGTGGCAGGAAGAACGATGACTTTGACTCATGTACAGGGTCTAGTTGCCACACCACATATGTACAGAAGGTGACTGGTGCCACCATCGACGGTTGCCGCTAACGCGTGCCGGTGAGATAGTTTCCCATATTCTTCAGGTTATTGCCGAAGATGCAAGGCTTTCGCCAGCATTTTGCCGTCTGGTAATACGCATTGTGATACCAAAACCGTTCGGGGAATTTAAGTGAACACGGCCTGGATTTAGAGCGATCCCGGCGATTTCACCGTTGAGGGGAGTTCGGAGGACGATAGGAGGAAATAGTCAGAAAGTTTGACCTAAGTAGTTGCTGGACGGAGTTGCGTAACCCTACCATTGCAGTGTCCCTACTCGAAGTCTATTTAGCTATTGGGCACATTTCATTGGCTGGCCATCGTGTTATTTCTAGAATTTCATCGGCAGAATTAGCTAAGTCGTCTATAATAACGCCTTAAAGTGTCACCAACCACAGCCTGTACCGACTGTGGCAGTTCAGATAAGAACAGTTCTCTACAAAGTCGCTCATCGAAGTGACGACCAAAAACTTCCAACATTCGTGTTAGTATGTTCACAGCCGACTGATCCCCCAACATGACGTTGCGAAATGGTTCGTCAAGACGACGCCGATCAGTGAGGTCGTTTCTCTTTAGGAGGGCTGCTTTAAGCACCTCATATGGGCTACCTGCCCCTGAGTTTGACATAAGCACAGTTACGCATTTACTTAATTCTCTCAGTAGAGCGTGGAAAACTGCAAGGGACTGTGAACGTTAGTCAGTGACCCCATGCTAACTGAAATCATACTTGGCTATTTGAAACCATGATTTCACATTATCTGGCCAAAAAGTCACGACCTGGATAGTCTTGCTAGTTGATCGGATACGTATGAGTTTGTATATATATATATATATATATATATATAAGTATAATTGTACAGCTTGTTAATAAATTCGTTGAAAGGAGTCTCTTCGCTGAATATTGTGTTCTTAATCGTTTATCAGTTAGTGGGTATGTTAGAATAAAGGCAGTGGATGTAGTAAGGGAATCTTTACATTAGAAAACTTACACATGGTGTAAAATAATATGTTTCGGTTGATAAGTGCATATGATTTGCCTACATATTTATAATAAAACGAAGTGACATTAACAAAGGTTACATTTGTAAATCCCTAGTGTGGCAGTTGAAGTATTAACTATATATATCCATATCGAAAATCATTGGCAACCTTCATAGAATGTGTTACTCTATAAATAATACTATTAATCTGCTTTATTCCAAAAACAGTACACACAGTGCAGTATGAAATTCTCACCAATTGGCACACTATTGCATCTAATCTACTCAAAATATAAAAAGGATCAACCGCATGAATTTGTCTACATTTGCAGTAGGAGTGAAGTCAAAAATGTGCACAGTACAAAATGAGAATAATAACTCAAATAATAATAATAATAATAACAATAACAGCGGGTTTGTTCTAACAATACTATCGTTACACTATGGAAATCTTAGAATGTTATAGAGTATTGAATTTAATGTTCTCTTGGTATTGAATGGTGAGGGGAAAAACAAACGGGCGTTGATAAAGCATATCCCCTATTTGAAGTGGCGCCTCTGGCTTAACCTTGACGGCATTTGCGCGGTTTCGTTGATTCGAGTTGGAGCTAGTCGTTCAGCCAGGTAGAGGATAGAGGCACAAATCAGCTGATTGCTGCAGTTTTAAGGTGTTATCGTGGTGTTGTGTTTAGGCTATTCTACGTTGTTTTTAGTGGTTTTTTCGACAGAAATGCATTTTAAAAATCATATTTTAACGAAAAAACGTGTAAAAAGTGAGAAAAGTAATCGTTTTCATTGTGTTGACGAAATGCTGTTTTTTCATCGAATTGACATCCCGAGATGCATAAGAAATGAAACAATTCATTGGAAAATGTCAATTATGATAGAAAATGCTAAATAATTACAAATTTTGAAGTTTATTTTACGTATATGATGAGAAAAGGGTTAAATATCGAGGTAATTATAATTTCATGATTTTTACCAAATTGCTCAGAAATAAAGGAAATTGAGTTGGTTATTTCGTCAGATAACGGTGAAGAGATAGTCATTTAACTAGTACGTACTGTATTATATGTTTATTTATTTAACTCATCACATCTTGACTGAATGTTTATTTTTAATTTCCAGATTATGGTCTTCAATCCCGCAATCACTCAATACATTTAGACATTCTAATTGGGATTAAAAACGATAATATTTGTGTAAATGATGGAATTTTTGTGATATTAATAATGTATTTATCGAAATAAATATTGTTTTACAAATTTTGCTCCATTAATACTTAGTGTTTGTCGAGTTGCAAAGTGATGCCAATGTAGAAGACGTAATATTCGTAAAATGGCATATTCACACGTTGCTGAATTTCGTCACGATGGGGTACTGTTATCGCTTTTGAGTAATTGCTTTCGCTAGTAAATCTTAAACAGGCGATATGCACAACAAAGGCCTATTTAATGCGTCACAGTATTTCATGATAGCAAAATAATCAACGAAGTTTAGTGACGTAGTCAACTAATTAGTTGCATTAATGCACGAGTCTAAGTGTTGGTGTGATCATGTAAGAGCCTTTTGATACGAAATGATAACACAAGAAAAGTAATGTAGTTTTCTCCTTATTACCTAATGATACCCTTCGAGATAGTGGTGTTAAACGCAACATAATAATAACAGAGTATTTGTGATAAGTGGGACACACGTCGCATTGTGTACTTGAAGTGCCTGGACTACTAATACATGTCGTCTGCATATAGAACCTACGTTTGCTAGACTTTGTTTCGTTATTACAGTACGAACACATATTTGACGGCTACTTTCTTAACAATCTTGAATATTAATCTTATACGCAACTGAAACACTTTACGCAAGGCTTGATGACGCATAGAGGAAGTAATAACAGTTTATGACTGACGCATTTCACATAAGTATTAGAACGTTGCCTATCATTCTCGTTAACTCTGCAATGTCCTCAAAATAAGTAAAAGAGACAAAGTTAGTCGACATAAATGCATATATTTGTAAGGAAACAATAATCAATCAAATTAAAAATGACTCATAATAAAAGAGTACATATATACACAAAAAAGAGTTAATAACAATCCAGTGAAAAAATCACAGTTGTAGACTTTTTATAGCTGCATCGTAGTCATCATAAAGTCCACCAAACACTCTAACCGCAACATCTGTGTCAGTTTGCCTCCGTTGTTAGTGGTGTTGGACCAGTCTTTGCAGTTTTCGTCACCACCAGTTCCGTTCGCAGAAACTGGATGTGAACTTTTCAAGCAGAGATTGAGATTATATTCCTTCGACTGCCTTCGGCCGTATTGAGAAATATCTGAGGATGTATACATATCGGGTAAATTAATCTTACCTTTGGTGAACAATTCCTAATCTTAGCCACAGTGAATATGTGAACAAGGCAAAGAACAACCACAGAGTTGGTGAAATTCTACAGATTAGTCGTCCATATATTCCACGATAGATTTCAGGAATCATGTAACTTCCAAATCACCTGTCACACTTTTTCTTCTATAAAAAGCAAATATTATACAAGTGACTCTTACCCATCCGTTACAATTAACTGAAAGACATAAAATCTCCAAACTTTATATTTCTTTGATTAAGTTACCCAGTAGTATTCTCCTTGTTACTGGATCTAATGCTTCTCACATGTGTGAAATTTATAAGCATGTTAACTTGTTCCCTTAAGCTAAAAAATATAATGTTTATCCGCTTTTATTATTGCTATTTCAAAGCCCGCCTCAGTAACGTACGGCACGTATTAGCCGCAACGTTTACGCAAAGGAAAATCTACCAATCACAGTGTGCGTAAGTGACCTTCAAGTGCTCAGCCTCTCCATAAGCCATTTGTGCCGCTGTCCTCTATCCCACTTTTCCTTTCGTGTGCTGTGATCGATAATATGGTCAGACTGCTCACTGTAGGTTTTAAATCACGTTCAACCTAGCCTCTGCCTAGACTAATCGAATAGGATCAGCTATTAAGTCGATTTCACGCCACTTATCAACAACTGGTAGTGTTCTCATGTTTCTGCTTTACTTGTAGGTAATCTTTTTAAGGCTGATGTGGTTGTTATTGGGTCGGGTCCTGGGGGATATGTTGCTTCCATAAAGGCTGCACAGTTAGGCATGAAGGTTAGTGTACATTTTGAGGTCATAGTTTTTTTCCAGACGGTCTGTGTTGAAAAGAATGATACATTAGGAGGGACATGTCTGAATGTTGGTTGTATTCCTAGCAAGGCGCTTCTAAACAATTCGTACTTGTACCATCTTACACACTCAGAAATGAAGAATCGTGGAATTGATATTGAAGGCTGCAAGTTAAACCTCCCAGTTATGTTACAAGCGAAAGAAAAAGCTGTTTCAAGTTTGACCGGGGGAATAGCATATTTGTTTAAACAAAATAAGGTAAGTCTTTCTTTACAATCCTCGTGGTTTACATCCAGATACATTTAAGCACAGTGTTTGTATCACTGTTCCGAATATTTGGACTTTTAAACTACTCTTTTGGTAGTATTATCTGTTTAATATCAACTTGTGTTAATGTAAAATAATCTAACTGCTAGATTTGTACAGTTTAGTCTTACAATCACACATCGCATATATATATATATATATTATATATATATTGACGATTCATAGCACGGGGGTCGCGTAACGAAAGTTACAAAGCTACTAAAGACGTTTGCTTGCTATGGTGGTTACAAAAATAATCCCGATCAACCGTAACTATGGCTATCATACTGTGTATTAATTGTAACAGCAGAATTACAGACAGGCTAGCTACTACATGGTATTCCCGTCTGTTTTCAAACCCCTGAAACAGTTTACGGTACTTAATTTGGAATTTGAAAGATGTCGCATACATAATCCCATTAATTGTACAGAAATGTTTTGTTTAAAGCATTACCTTGTACAGTATTTTCAGTTAGATCATGTCATGTATTTTCAGTGTTATACAAATAATAGCATGAGTATTTTACAATGGAAATGGTCATTCATTTTGGTATCTTGTATCTTATTTGTAACGTATGATATGGGAATAGTGAATGAAATAGAAAAGGTATCAGGAGCAGCTAACAACCGTCAAATATCTAAACTAATCAGGTAGACGGGTTGTAAATAAACTGTCAAGTGAAATGACCTCCGAGAATAGAACAGGAGCAGTTTAACTGGTATACATCTACATCACTAATGCCCGTTATCCAGTCTCTGTGATTGGGATGTAAGCATAAGTTCACTAACTACAGTGTAGGTTGCGAATAAATATGATCCAAGAGACATACATATGCTAATTTACTAAGTAGACAAGTTTCGTATTGAGATTAGTTATGAAAACACTTGGGTGGCACATGGATTATGCGAGTCTTAAATCCATGGCATATGGACCAAAAGTTGATCATTCTACTGAATAAATCTAAGCTCTAGTTTTTTGTTGACACTGACAAAACATGACGGTACAAAGCTGTACGTTAGTGTTAGGATTTTTTTTCCAGAAAGTCACGTGATCCAAATATCCACTCTCTCTAATCTTTATTCCACCAACTGAGTCTCTTAGCAAAATATTACGTTTGATTGTAGTACAGAGCTTGCTTAATGTCCACAAAATGTTTTTATTATACAAATATACCTAAAATCAGTTTTCTATATATATACCAAGCGTTTGATCGACTTCATTATGCAAGATTTCAGTGGTCTTTCAGTTTCTAGATAGGAGATTCTGTGTAAGTGGACATCATTTCCTTGGTGGCGTCTTTGGCACTGAGTGTTTATATTCCTCAATGGATTCCCTCCCCCCCCCAACAAATCTGTGTTATTCAAGAAAAATCTTGAATATGAACAAGGAGGTTTATAATAATTACGCTAGTTAGTGTTCAAAAATAGAATCTTGCCTATCTAACTATTAAATCAATAGTTTGATAATGTGGACAAATGTAATAGTTATATTTCAACGTAGTTTTCCTTGATGTTACATTCCTTTTGTGATACATTGATTAACCGTGGTAATCAGTTTGCCGCAACCTTATTTTCATTGTAAGAAATTCTATACATATACTACATTCATTTTAAATTTTAGGTTGATCATGTCAAAGGTGTTGGTTCAATTGTTAGTCCCAATGAAGTTTTGGTTAAATGTACAGATGGCAGTGAAAAGCGACTAGAAACTGAACGTATCCTCATTGCAACTGGCAGCGAAGTGACTCCATTCCCCGGGATTGAAATTGATGAACAGTCTATTGTTTCAAGCACTGGAGCACTCTCTCTGACTAAGGTTCCTGAACATCTTGTGGTTATTGGAGCAGGAGTTATTGGCGTTGAATTAGGCTCTGTATGGAAGCGGCTAGGTGCTGAAGTAAGTTCTCAGGACTGTTTGTGTTCTTCACCCTTACTTTTGTAATGACCTAATGCCGATTCTTTTTTTTGCCAATTTTAGCATTGAAAGTAGGTAAATTTATGCTCATTTTAAAAAGGTAACTTAAGAATCGGTGATACAACTCCCTAATCATGATAAGTTTGCGTGCTAGGCTGATCAAAGGATCAATTCCTATCATTGTAGACAATTTCCACTCCTTAAAAACGAGCTTAATTTACCTGTAAGTTCCTGATTAATCATACAGGTGATAAAATCTCGATATTCATAGTTACATGTTGGAGAATGGGGTCTGTCTTCTGCAGCAGTCCGCATATCGTAACCCATTTCTAACCGACACCAGTTCCCGTTACAGCCATCACTACTTGGTATCTTCCTCTTGTGACTCAAACATGGATGCAAATAGATCACAATTGCTGTTAGCTGTCTATGATGTGGGTACGCTGAAGACTACCGCTTTTGTTCTGTCTGTCTGTTTTCGACATAGAATTTTGCACTGTTGTGCACCAGTTCAAGTCGCCACACTCCATGTCGCACACAAAGCAAGAGAGGAAAGTAGAAGAAATGCATAATAGAGGCAGTAAACAGAGGTGTGAGACAAAGGAACAGTAATAACGAAGAACGATATAGTTTCATTGGAAATCACAAGTCACAAGCAGTGGATGCATCTGCACCAGCCATTGAGAACGATGAGTTTGAGCCATGTCACCAATTGTTTCCAGCCATTGGTTTTTACCGTCCCAACCAGTCAAGAAGTCTACACCTTCCTATGTGGCTGGCTTAAACTAACTGTTGTAGATTTCATTGATCGGTGCCATGTTTTTTTTTGATCGCCGCTTCTCCGGAAACATTTGTCTGGATTCCGATCATGTTTTATTTGTTTGCCAGATTTCTTTTGCTTCTTGGTGATAATTACAGAAGTCGCCCTAAGGAGGTTGACGTAAATAGTGGTCGCACGTGCTACGGCTACCAAATATCGAACCGAGCTAGATAGGGAGCCATCTACTGAGCCTTCAGAGGGCATAGACGAATGGTGACTACATATACCAAACTCTGTGGTGATGATGATGAATCAGGTCGATTGCGGCTGAGAAGAACGTTATACGTAAAAATCACTTGGTTTCTGTCTGTCAGTTCATTTTGGAGGGTAATGGTTATAATAATCTGCATAAGGTTCTTCTGCATAAAGTCAATCATTACTTACGCAAAAACTGCGAAATCCGGTGATCAGATCGTGCCTATGGGTTGAAGTCAGGAGCTTCGTCTACAAGTAGTTGGGAGCTATTCTAGCTCATGTGAACCATCGGTGGGAAGAAGCATTGTATTCATGAAATGGTTTATGTAAAACGAGACGGAAATTCTGGACAGTGCATTTCGAAAAAGAGTTTAGATAACCCAAAAACCAGTATTGAGTTTTCCAAATTACAGTGTTTCTTAGTCGGTTAAGAGCGATCCATCTAACTGATCATAAAGGAACTCCAATTGCTCAAGTATCACGAAGTACCAGGCCCAAAAAGCGTACCCCTGGCTCTTTACAAAGATCGTAGTCAACCTCCAGTCAGGGAACTGACTGGATTGCTAAGGAAAGTTGGATGGGTGTGGCGAACAAAATTCCTAATCCACGATAAAAAACCAGTGTAGTGTACGCCGTCTTAAACCACCTCTGGAGACATTGTGACTTCAGTGTGGCTGGTAAACATCAAGTTTACAACACTTCGGTGCATGTGGTGTTGCTCAACTCTTGTAAAGCCTGGTCTATTAGAACTGAGGATCTGTGGTTGCTCTGCACGTTCGATCGTTACTGTTTCCATAAAATTACTTTGACCCACAGATGTCACCATGTAATTAATTCTGAGGTTCGATGGCGTATGCTTGGGCGTGATAGAAGTCGTCTCTCAATGAGTTATTTCATATTGGGACATGGTCTTACGTGGCTTGAAAGTCACCACGAATGTCTTCCAAGCACTTTCCACGTCTTCGTACACTTGTTCCCCTTTATTTACTTCTATGTTGTTTGTTGTTTACTGGTCCTGTGACTGAATAGAAAAAGCTGTGGTTAGCTCATAACATGGCACCTTGGGATGGAAGATAGGTGTGTTGGATTAGTATCTTTCCGTGTGTCATAAGTCTCTAGATGGGCTTTGAGTGGTCATAAGGCTCATTGCCTCAAGACTTTATCAGATATGTCTCAAAATATGCTATAATATCGTCTTTTTTTCTTCTGAAAGCAGTACTAAAGTAATGAATTCCCCTTTGAATGCTATTCATAAATATGCTTGCCTTTTTTCGCACTATTATTTCACAGTCATTTTTCTCTTTTCCCTGTTATTTCATTATTTTGCATGGCGTATCTTTTTGGTACGCGAATCTGCGTTTTCCTTACCGTAACTTTACAAAATAGAAAAGTATTTTAATGGCTTCTTCTTTGCATTAAGATTATCTAGGATTTTTGTTCCAAAAACAAATTTTGCGTTTCACGGTGTTGAAACTAAAGGCAGGATTCTCTTTGATTAAAGGCAGTATTTGTATTTATGAAGATTGTGCTTCTTTTTCAATTCATAAATGATCTCCATCAAGACAGTGATGAAAACAAAACACAGTTCAGCGAATTCATTGGTCTTTCTTTAGCTGTACAGTCGTATTCATACACAATAGTCTCGTTTTTCACGAAAGAGAGTGGTAAAAAAAGCGATGATGAGTTGTCACAAACAAAGTTGTTAATATTAGTCTTTGCATAAATGAAGTTGAATGAGTGTATTGGAGTTACATGACAAGTTGAGTAAGTTATGCTCAGGATGCACGTAAAAACGAAGGAAATTAGGGAATTATGTAAGAGTTCTAATATTTTTGTGCGTTGAAGTTTCTGTAGCGATCAAGTTAAGTTTTGGGGGTGGAGTTGCTAGTACCATACCCCAACCCTCCCTCTTTATCCGGGGTCGGTACCGGCTAGAAAACTAGCGAGCTAGTGATCTAGGCGAGGTAAGTGGAGATGGATTGGACACTCTCTGAGGAGGCCGCTGGGCGTCAGGTCCTCGAGTGGAATCCGAAAGGGAAGCGGCGAGTGGGACATCCAAGAGTGATATGAAGGAGATCGTGTGAAGAGGAGTTGAAACAGTATGGACTAACATGGATGCAGGTAAAAAGTACAGCAGAAGACAGAAGGAAGTGGAGACGTGCAGTTGAAGCCCTATGTTCCACTAGGAAACTAAGGGAACAATAATAATAATTTAAGAGTTCTGAAGAAATAGGGGAGTTATACGAAGTCAGGAAAACAAGCAAACAAAAACCAAGTCAGTAAAAATCAACACGGTTGTTATCATGATAGTTAGTAGAATTGAATAACTTTCTTTTGTATGCATAACTCTGGTTGTTCTAACTGAATGGCTAAGGTTTCAACAATGCAAAGAAGATGAAAGCGTATTGCCCTTGGCAGATTGTGTTCTTCACTTTGTAGATTACTTTGAAGGAGGCATTTGTTGAGATGGAATAACCAGTGTTGAATAGGTGTTCGATTATCTCACTCCTTATAGAGCCACTACTACTACCTTTCTGCAACCGTGTGGGATGGTGGTGTTGAACGCTTTTAGACAAGATGCGCATCGAACGACGAATATACCTAGCTCCACAACAATAGATAATGTGATACAAGGACATGAAAGTGCTCAGGTGCGAAGCTTCTGCAGACCAATGAGTGACTGACTGGTGAACACTACTCTTCACGTTGCTACGAAGAATGTTCTTCTCAATTATGATGAAATTCTGCTCTTAAGGATACCTCAGGTTAAGTCCCCCTTGAAATCCAGGTTCATGTAAAATTTATATATTTTTAGCTGAACTACGTGTTTTGTTTCCATTAATGATTCTGCCTTTAACACTATATGTATATATATAAACAGTATCCCCACCTATTTAATATAAACTTTTGTGCTGTCTATTTCAGGTCACTTGTGTAGAATTCCTTGGTCATGTTGGTGGAATGGGCATTGATATGGAGATAAGCAAAAACTTCCAGAAAATACTAACTAAACAAGGTCTTAAATTCCTTTTGAATACTAAAGTTCTATCAGCTTCAAAATCTGGTAGTAATATCACAGTACAATTAGAGGGTGTAAAAGATGGTAAATCTCAAAGTGTAAGTGCCAGTGTTTCATTTCTTTATATATTTTGTTATATAGTAATTACAGATTAAGTATAATAGTTATCAGGAGGTATTTGAAATAATCGAGATTTGTAGCTCAAGTGGATGATTTTAAATTAGTTGTGTTCTCTTCAGTGCTGAAGATGTTGTCTTGAAGGACGACGAAAGTTTCGCAATTAAGTCAACAAGCTCAGAAAACACACATCTAATTCAAAATCAGGGGGTATGCTTAACATAATCAGGTATGTTGTAGATTTTTATGCGTAGACGAAGTGTTAGTGCTAATCAAGATAATGAACGTTAATCAGTATTATTCACCAATCGTTTGTATCAATTATCCACATATGTTGAATGAAGGCTAATGTTGCTAACTAGCTGCGCAAATCTCTGTAGGTGAAGCAAGGTTCGAACTCCGCAACTCAGTGGTTGAAGGTCTAGAGCCTATGTTGATGAGCCACTCTTCCGTCAGAAACAACAAAGTCACCGGGGTGTTTCAGTAAAACAAGAATAAAGATAGTTTAACCATTGGTTTTATCGTTATAAATGTCTCAAATGTCGTTTAAGATCCTTTCACTTTAGTCATTTCTCAACATTTAATTCAGTCGCCTTGTGTCACGTTTTGATGACTTCCGATGGAGGATTTGCCTTCTGAGAAACGCTTGAAATCCCTTACTGCTAGATTGTTATCGTTCACCTTATCCCTAACTGTGGTGGACTGGATTATGCGTTAGACTATGGGGAGCTAGGAGATAAGAATATGCTGAACCGATACGAAGAATCTGGATTTCTCAGTTGACTTATGTTCAGTGTCACACAAACTCAAACACTTGTAGGCGAAAACCAATAAACTGGCTGAAGAAGCAGCAAAAACATCACTTCACGTGGAAATAGAGAAGTCGAAGGTGATGAAGATAACCAACCATCAACAACCGGTATCAGTTACTATCAACGGGAGAAATGCGGAAAAGGTTATTTCCTTCACTTATCTAAGCAGTATTGTTTCAACTACAGGCTGACGGCACGGATGAGGATGTTAAGGCAGATCGAGATCGAAAAGGCCAGACAGACCTTCATCACTCTAAAATCAGTTTGAGAATCTTCTGCACTCAGAATAAAGAACGAAATTCGGTTTTTCAACACCAAGTCAGTTAAGTCAGTCAGTTCTACTATATGGGTTAGAAACTTGGTGCTCGCGTCACTAAAAGCACTCCCAGCAGGCTATTGCATACTTTTGTCAACAAGCGCCTTATCTGGCTCCATACTGAAGATCACATGGCCGGCTAGAAAGAATTAACAACAAGGAGCTTTGGGGACTAACCGACCATAAGGAAAATGGAGAAGGATTGTGCACATACTGAGGAGACCGTAGAGTGGAACCCGAATGGGAAAGAACAAGTTCAGCGTTGGTCTGAGAGCGACGTGGAAGGTGTCGTACGAGGAGGAGGTGAGAGTATATGGGCAGTGGTGGGACTGGCTAAACAGGTACACAGAGAATAGGACAAAGTGGAGACTTGCTGTTGAAGTCCTATGTTCCACTCGGAAACCGAGAGAACAATAAATAATAATACTTCGTTCTTTGCTTTTTATAGTAACAAAGTCTCTAATAAGAGCTAAGTATCGTTCTAATATCTATGATAATTATTATTGTTTCCTTTAATTCCTAGAGGAAAATAGGGCTTCAGCCGCACGTCTCCATTGCTTTCGATTCTCTGCCAATGTTTTCACCTGGCTCCACGTCTGCCCATACGCTTTCATTTCCTCTTCACATGACCATCTCCATGTCACACTCGCACTGACGACCAACTCGCCGCTTCCTATTCGGCTTCCACTCGAGCGATGGCCTGGCGTGTGATGTCATTTGATGGTTTCTTCAGAGTATGGCCAATCCACCTCCATTCCATCCTGTTTATTTGTTGCACAATCGGTTCCTGGTTGGTTCGCTCCCAGGGATCCCTTTTACCGATCTTTTCTGACTGGCCATGTGATCTTGAGTAGTATTGAGCGAAGACAGTTGTTGATGAAAGTCTGTAGTTTGTTCGAAATGCCCTTCGTGACGCGGCACCAAATCTCTGATCTGAATAGTAAGCAGCCTTGACTTCACATTGGAGTCGAAAATCCGGATCTTATTTTTCATGCTGAGTGCTGTTGGTCTCCACACAGCTTTGAGAGTAATGAGAGCTTGTCTTGCTTTCCTGATCCTCGCTTTGATATCCTCATCAGTTCCGTCAGCCTGTAGTTGAAACGATGCTTCCCAGGTAGGTGGGTAGGTAAAGGAGATTGTTTCTTTCAGGTTCCTCCCATTTTCTCTGATTGTTGTCTGTTGTTGTTGCTGTTGGCGTTGGTCAGGAATCTTCATCACCTCTGTTTTCTCTATATTCACCTGAAGTCTTATCTTCTGTGGATGCTTCTTCTGCAAACTTGTTGCTTTTCACTTGCATATCTTCCAGTTTGTGGGAAATCAGACATGTATCATCGGTGAAGTCCAGATCCTCCAAGTTTTTTGTATGGGTTCATTTAATACCTGTTTCCTCACTGTCCGCTGTTTATTTGATCTACCGAAGACTTACCACTAAGGACTGTTTCTGCCGAATAGATATGTTTTTAAAAATTACAAAGCGTAATGAGTCAAGCACACACGGAAGTTGGTTATCATATTCTGGTGTGTGGGGCAGTCAGTTCTTAGTTTTACTTGTATCCATTTTCAATATTTTTAAAATATATTTCAGATCGATTGTGATACTCTCCTGGTGTGTATTGGAAGACGTCCATACACCGCGGGTCTTGGCCTAGAGAATGTTGGTATCAAATTAGATGAGAAAGGTCGTATTCCTGTGAATAAAAACTTCCAGACTTCTGTACCAAGGTATGTCTCTTCGAAATAACTGTTTTACGACGCATATTCAGTACGCTATTGTTTCTTGTTAGCTGTTATGCATTTATTGAAAGAAGTCGTTAGATAGCTGATCAATTAGGGTAAGTAAGACGATAATACTTTCGCCCTGCTGTTAGTGAAGAATCAAATATTTTGCTTCCTAAGCTACTTTATCCTGCGTGAGTTGGATGTGCCATAATTGTGATGCGTTGAGTGAGAGATATCTAGGCGAAAAGTGAACAAATTAGGTTAACCCCTTAAAGTTGTTTATTGTTGGTTTTTGGAGGACAAGAAAATCCAATGCCTATGAGTAACTTTGGATTGATACTATCCTCCTACATTGATTGATATATATGTGTGCTCATAGAACATTTGACTGTTAGAAAGTAACTCAGTCAGATATTTAATGAGCATATACTTTTCTCTCTCTCTCTCTGAATACTCAAGCATTTTACATATACGTGCAATTTGATTACTATTTCATGTTCATGTGAGAAATATTTATTAAAGTAGTTTAAGAATGTTGAATTTGTTGTAATAGTTGTAGTCGAAAATCATCATATAGTTCCCAGCGTACCTTTACTCACAGAGAACTCTGTTAGCATTAAGTAGTATCAAGTAAATAAAGCTGTCCCATACAACCGGTTCCCTTTTTATTAGTTTGAATAAAGAAAGAATGAACATATTTGCAGTCTCGATGATACTGTGGTGAAAGCTGTCTGCAAGGTAAGATTGTAGACAATTTACGTCAATGTTTACGTCCCGAATCAGGGTCATGAGATAAAATAATAACAAAGCTTGACCTTCAGGAACTCATTAACCAATCACAGCAGACTTAACGTGTCCAAATACAATTCGCAGGTAAATGGCTTAACTTTCTGAGAAACTGTTACAAACAGTACTGAATAACCTTCAGCAAGAAAACAACCAATTATAAGAGGTTGCTTCGCCGCTAACAATAACGCTAATGATAATGTTCATAAAAATCTATAAATATCTGTTGGTTTTCTCAATAAACGATATATTGCCTGGGCCTTGTCTCCTGTCGTTACACCTTCACTCATGTCATTCATATACCTACTTTTTTATTTATTTTTAAGCCTGTATGTTTTAACTAATCACTGTAAATTTATCTTGCTGTTTTACTTGGCAGAGGTCTTCAAAAGATAAACATAGTTTTCTTTAGTAGCCATTAGGGTTGCTTTCAATCATGGCTATTTAAATCTTATGAGTCTTTTATTTTAAAAAAACCCCTAAAAATCTCAAGCTTCTAGGTAGACATACGTTGATTTATACTTCGAGTCTATAGTAAACATCGTAGACGTTTCTTGTCCAATGATTTCTTTTTCTTTTCGGTTTTTGGAGGACAAGAAAATCCAATGCCTATGAGTAACTTTGGATTGATACTATCCTCCTACATTGATTGATATATATGTGTGCTCATAGAAGATTTGACTGTTTGAAAGTAACTCAGTCAGATATTTAATGAGCATATACTTTTCTTTCTCTCTCTCTGAATACTTAAACATTTTACATATACGTGCAATTTGATTATTATTTCACGCTCATGTGAAAAAAAATATTTATTAAAGTAGTTAATAATGTTGAATTTTCAAGTATTGGTTTGTAGGATTAGGTTGATGGGTTACAGGATTTCATCATGAGCTGACATTGGTTAGAGGACCATTGGAAAACAAGCTGGGAGTACTGGACAGCTAGCTGTTTCGTCCTATTTTGAGACTCTTCATCAGTACGCACCCACGGGGTTCGAAACCAAATCTTCTGGTTACAAGGCGAGCCAGCTCGTAAACCATTAAGCCACTGGGACCCGATCCAATGGCCCATGAATTCTAACTTCCGCCAACTCATGATATAGTGCACCCGCTAGCCAATGTCTTCGGCGAGTATTTGTCCTCACACCCGACCCGCTGGGTGCGTACTGATGAAGAGTCCCAAACTAGGACGAAACGCATCTACAGTACTTCCAGGTTTTCCAATGGTTCTTTAACCAGTGTCAGCTCATGATGAAATCCTGTAATCAATGTTGAATTTCTTGGAATAGTTGTAGTCGAAAGTTATCGTATAATTACCAGCGTATTGTTACTTACAGAGAACTCTGTTAGCATTAAGTAGGACAAAGTAAATAGAGCTGTTCCATACAACCAATTATCTTTTTATTAGTTTGAATAAAGAAAGAACAAACATATTTCCAGTTTTGATGATACGACCTCGTTTTATTATCTTGTGGATTCCCTTCAACTGTGTGTTCATCTTAAATAAAATAAAATTATAAGTTACACAATTTCTGAGCATACTTTTCTTTACCGTAGTGTCAATTTATAGATAGAAAGTGTTAAGCAACATAGTTTCCAAAAAATGATGTAAGCAGACAAATTACTCAGTGTTAAAAAGGAACTAACTGTTTGTAGTATAGCTAGACAAGAAGGTGGTAGAGTTCAGATTCCGCTTGAAAACAAAACTTGATTAGAGACAAAATACACAAGATCGAACAACCAAATGAATTTATGCATATTGTGATGGAGAGTTTAGTTTGAAGAGGAAGAGGGCTGGGAAATAGTAACGTAAAATTTTGAAATAAACAAAAAAATTAAGTAAATTTAGAAGCTTAATAGTGAATGAACGAAATTTTCATAAGCTGTACAATCGTAATCATATTTAACAAGAAAGCTATTAGACAAATCAGATACTGGTAAAATTTATCGCCGAAGATTTATTACTTTAATTGAATTTTAGATTTTCCCGTCGATTGATTGGACCGAAGTGCTTGGTCTCAGGTTGACATATCGGTTTCTTGTGCAGATGCTTCAACGATGTCTGGGCATTTAATTAGAATTTAATCTGTGGATGGTGACTAGCAGTGGAATTCAGGATGCACATTTTGTCCTATTTGGGACTCGTCACTGGATGTACCTGTATTACGTAATGCAAGGTGTAATCTAGACGGGGGGTGACTAATTCGAAATTAGTAAAGAGGTAGAAGTTGGCATGACGTAATAATTGTGAGAAAATGACTAATCAATACGATTGTGTAGAGTGGACAGGAAATAGGGGAAAGACGATAAAGTGTTTTTATATAAAATCTCTATGAAAAAGCAATGCTATTATCACTCTATTAGCGTTTGTTATTAACATTGCATTTTCATACAGATTTTATATAAAAACATTTTATCGTCTTTCTGCTAGTTCGTGGTGTCCACTTTACACAATCCTAATGATTAGTCATTATCTCACACTGATTACGTCATGCCAAGTTCTGTCCCCTTTTCTAATTTCTGACTAGTCACCCCTTTTCTAGACTACACTCCACGTTACGTAATTCCTTTTCGAGGACAAATTTTACCAGTATCTGATTGGTTTTACGAATTTTTTGTTGATTAGAATTACGATTGTATAAGTTATGAGAATGAATTATCGAAAACAAAATTTTCTTCGGTGTTTAAGTCTCTTCCTTATGACTTAATAGTGAGTTCAACTCAGTAAGTGAAAATCAAGACTGAGTGGAATGTGTTACATAACAGAATAAAATTACAGTTACCAGATGATCGTTGGGCAACACGAACTTCGAGAAAAACGAACAGCAGGCTTCAACTACCACTATTCATAAGGTGACTGTGAAAGACAACCAGAGAGTACACTAGAAAAAGACATCATACTCTGGTATCCTCCTCGATGACTTGTGTTTTTTCGATGCTTAAAAATTTTGTAGTCAATTACTATTGTTATGAAGCCTGGAGTTAAGTCATCAACTGTAAAACCCCGGTGTTTTTTTCAACAATTCTCACCTGGATTTATTTCGCATTCCCAAGTGTGCGGACTATTCTCAGAGGTGGTGGTATGATTAATCGAAAATTCCCTTGGTTACTGTCTGCCTTCACGTTTTTCACAAATATATACATCGAAGGGTGAAACTCCTCCTGTTCGTTTGAAATCAAATCTGTGTTGTTTTTACGGCGTGGGGCTGTTAACCTCATGCCCAACCTTCTCTCTTTTGCGAACTTACTAACCGGCTAGGTGTGATGTGGGTGTACTTTGATCGGAGATCGAATCAGTACTAGATGATCGCATCACAGTACCTGTTCATAATAAAAAAGACCAAAGTGGTTGTTGGGTGTGTTAATCTTGGAAATGTCTCGCTGAAATAGGTAATTTCGTAGTCGAAGAAGAATTCTTTTCATGATATGTAAATGTATATTAGAGTCAGGCTGGAAAAGAGTTAGCTAGCGGCGGTCAAACCGAAACATGGCTTTATCAGTCAATGAAATCCACAACAGTTAGTTTAACCCAGCCAGTCACGTAGGGAGGTGTAGACTTCCTGACTGGTTGGGGTACTCGGGTGGTAAAAACCAATGGCTGACGACAATTGGTGATATGGCTCCAAATCGTTCTCAATGGCTGATGCAGATGCATCCATTCCTTGTGACTTATAATTCCCAATGAAACTACATTGTTCTTCGTTATTACTATTCCTTTTGTCTCACACCTCTGTTTACTGTCTCTATTATGCATTTTTCTACTTTCTTCTGTTGCTTTGTGTGTTACTTGGAGGGAGTGTGGCGAGTTGAACTGCTGGACATCGGTGCAAAGTTCTATATCGAAAACCGATAGATAGACAGTATATTAGGAATCAGGTGTAATGAGCAGTTGTATTCCTTTGTTACTCATTCTTTCTTGATAAGGTCGGATGTAAATCAAGAATCATATTTTTAAAAAATATTACCTATGCACACTTTGTACTGTTATTTCAAACCTTAAATCTGTGAATTAAAACTATTTTACCTTTTACAAAATGTTTTTGATATATAAATATTTTAGCATTTATGCTATTGGTGATTGTATACCTGGACCAATGTTAGCGCACAAAGCTGAAGATGAGGGAATAATTTGTGTTGAAGGAATGCTTGGCGGTGCTGTACACATAGATTACAATTGTGTTCCTAGTGTTATTTACACGCATCCTGAATGTGCTTGGGTTGGTAAAAATGAAGAACAATGCAAAGCGGAGAATATACCTTACAAGTGAGTATATTATTATTATTACTTTTATTATAATTATCCCCTTGAGTTCCGAGTGGAACATGGGGCTTCAACAGCACATCTCCACTTTGTTCTGCTCTCTGCAGTCCTCTCTAATTGTCCTCCTCGCACGATCTTTATGTCACCCTTGGAAACCCAACTAGTCGCTTCCCATTTGGGTTCCACTCTGGCGACGTCGGTATCTAATAGTTCATCTCATATTGCCTTCGGTGATCTATTTAGTTTGCATAAATACTGTACTATAATTCCACTTGTATCCATGTCTTTCTTTCCCTTTTGCCAGGGTTGGTAAATTTCCAATGTCTGCAAATTCAAGAGCCAAGACCAATGATGAACCTGAAGGACTTTTCAAAGCTTTAGCACATAAAGATACAGATAGACTTCTAGGAGTACATTTACTCGGCCCATGTGCGGGTGAATTAATCAATGAAGCTGTATTAGCTATGGAGTATGGAGCTTCAGCAGAAGATGTTGCACGTGTCTGTCATGCTCATCCGGTTAGTATTCATTTTTTTTCTTTTTTTTAACTGTTATTTGAATCATTCTCATTGTTTTTGAAATTCACATACACTCATCCACTTTTATTAGGAGTATTTAAAGCTAGATTACTAGCTCGCTAGTTTTCTAGCCGGTCCCAAACCGGATAAAGAGGGAGGGTTGGGGCGTGGTGCTAGGAACTCCACCCTCAAAAATTAACCAAATTGCTACAGAAACTTCAACGCATAGATATATTAAAAATTCTAAAAATATAAACAATAACCTTATTTTTCGCTGGAATCGGGGAAGTGAAGTGACGCAGGCTGGTGAAAGCCTTCAGGAAACCAGTCAGCCTGTGTGTCTTCTTTCGATGAAATCAAAGATAAGGATGGGGACGTGGAGTGTTCGTACAATGTACGAAGCTAAAAAGGCTGTCCAGGTAGCCGCAGAAATGAGAAGATATGGAATAGAAGTGTTGGGAATTTGCGAGAGCAGATGAAACGGATGTGGTAGGTAGCAAGTATCAACTGGAGAGACAGTAATCTATTCTGGTCATCCAGAGGACAACCACGAGCACACCGAGGGAGTGGCCATCATGATGTCACCAACAGCAGCCAAAGCTCTCATGCAGTAGGAACCAATCTCCTCCAGGATAATGACTTACAAACGAAAACCGACAAACTGATCGAAGAAGCAGCCGGCGAAGACAGGACTTCAAGTGAACATAAACAAGACGGAGGTTATGAAAATAACCAACCAGCAACAACAGCACCAACATCCAGCGTCAATCACCACCAATGGGAGGGATTTGAAAGGGTTACTTCATCCACTTATCTAGGGAGCATTGTCTCAACTACAGGCAGTCGGAACGGACGAGGATGTCAAATCGAGCGAGAATCGCGAAACAGCGAGAAACACATTCATCAACCTGAAACCAATCTGGAAATCTTCGTCACTCAGCCAGCATCAACAACAAAATTCAGTGGGATTTTCAATACAAACGTCAAGTCAGTCAGCTCTTCTATACGGATCAGACGGAAACTTGGCGTGTGGGTCACAAAGAATATTTCCAACAGCCTGTTGAGACGTTAACTTTATCAACAACTGTCTTCGCTGGATCTGTACTGAAGATCAGATGGCCGGGCCGGAAAGAATCATCAACTATTGGAAACTATGGGAACAAACTAAACAAGAACCAATCGGCCAACAAATATGCAGGAGAAAGTGGAGATGGATGGGACACTTGCTGAGGAGGCCGCTGGGTGACATCGTGCGTCAGGCTGTCGAGTGGAACCCGACAGAATGAAAAGAGGCGAGTGTGACGTCCTAGGGTGTCATGGAGAAGATCGTGTGAAGAGGAATTGAAACAGTATGGACTAAGATGGATGCAGGTGAGAAGCACAACAGAAGACAGAAGGAAGTGGAGACGTGCAGTTGAAGCTCTATGTTCCACTAGGAACCCAAGGGAACAATATTAATAATTTCCTTTCAAGACAAATGTCTTTATGACAACAATTTCACTAATGCGTGCTTCGTAGATTAAGGAAAGCTGTACGCTTCAGATCGTCTTTTGATCTCAACCCTGTGTGTTTATGGAAGTGTGTAGACGGTTATTACTTCCTTATCACCCACAAGATGGAAGTTGATTTCTTCTTGAGATACCTAAAAGACAGCTGAAGGGACAACTACTATTTGAGGCGAGCCGTATACGACCTGTTTGAGGGGTGGTTATTAGAGGTGTGTGTGTGTACTAAGATTTTACCAGCGTACGGTAAGTAGGGATGTATACAAACTTCGGGCTCGACCTTTACTTAACCACTCCTTTCTCTCTAGAGCGTAGTGCCAGTATATTTGGCTTGCAAATATCCATTTGTCGCACATTGAAAGCTTATCGAAAGAGGATTTAATCGAAAATGTATCCCTTTATAGAAGATATGTCAATGACATCATATCCATAAATAATAGGCCTTGTTCTTCCACTTCAATTTTAAATCGAATAAATGGAGTTCAAAATAGCATAACACTTATATCTGCAGAAAAGAAAGATATTTGTTTATCTTCGCTAGATATATTGCTTAGTCGACGGCCTGATGGACCAATAAAATGATCTATTTATAGAAAACCTACCTAGATATGACAGTATCTTAATTACGTCAGCTTGTGTCCTGTTCGTTACAAATTATCCTTAGTGAGGTGCCTATTCAGTAGAATCCAACGAATATGCACTCAAGACACTCTCGATGGGGAAGAAAGAAGCTTCACGCAAACTCCGGTTGATAACAATTATCCAAAGAAGTTCATAAGCAGATATAAAGTAGTTAGAATAGCAAGACCCATTCCTCAACTTGCCTCTAAAAAGGATGTATGTATCAAGCTACCTACCCTACATGGAGATGATCATAGCAGCTTGGTAACTCGACAAAAATTAAATGCTGAGGCTAAAAAGACTTTATGCAGCTAAGATTAGAATAATTGAATATGTGAAGCCCATATATCCAACTAAGCCCTTGGAACATACGAAAAATGAGATCACATCCCACTGTATCTACCAATTTAAATGTACGTGCCGTGACACATACATACATAGAGAGGACTCATCGATCTTTGCAAGTAAAGGCTTCAGAGTATATTCCCAAATGCCTTCGAAAGTAAATAGAATCCCATGAACCCATTAATGGTGAGAACAAGAGACCTGGCTCCTATATTGCGAAAGATATTACAGAGGACACAGGACATAAAACTAATGTTTACAAATCTTTTAAACCTATCTATAAAACGCATATCCTCAAATTTGTGCAAGTCTTACCGATTAGGAAGCTTAAACCACCTTTATGCGTTCAAAAACAATTCGTCATCATTACTTTAAACCTTCCTTGGTAGATTTTGTTTTGATACCTAGCGTAGATGTATTATTACCTCACGTCTCCATTGTTATTGTGACCTTCAATAAAATAGTTTGATATGCATAATTTAACAGACCTTCTTAAGAATGGCGAATATGTCGTGACTGTAAAGTCGAGTGGTTAGAATTCTTGGCTTTCACCTAGGCGGCGGGGGTCTGACTCCCGGCGCGGAGTGCTTGTGTATCGGTGGCACAGCGGTTAGGACGCTCGCCGACCATGCACATGGTGTGGGGTTCGATCTTCGGCCGACGCACACATAATATCAATGGTCGGCCTGCTAAATTTGGGTTACCGATATCACATGCCGAAAATTCCATACTTGTACCAAAATACTGTGTGAAATCAAGCTGTAATCAAAAATAAAAATCGTCGTGAGAATTTAGAACGCGTGCCTCAGCCTTTCTCCTACAGTGTGTTTATTACTTGTGTGTGGCTGAAATTTTTTCGCCAAGTTTTCGAAGTTAACTGGCCTGGCCTCAGTGTAATTGTAATCCTATGATAATATCATGTGTTAGTTCTCTCGTAAAATTTTTTTTCTATTTTCAATGTGTATATCAATTCCTCGAAAAAAAATAGTTTTCTGATTTGTTTTCACTACTCTCTCCCCCTCTTCCTCTTTAGACTGTATCTGAAGCTCTTCGGGAAGCCTGTCTCTCCGCCTATTGTGGTAAAGCTATCAATTTCTCATGAGGAGACAATTCTCTACAACCAACCTATAGTATACTAACTGTCTTGTCTTAGAATGAAATCTTTCTACTCCTTCAGTTAAAATACACGCACACACACACACTAATTAAGTGCGCGCATACATGTAACCTAATTTAGAAATTATATTGAATTTGCACCAAAATAATATATGCTGCCATTTCGAGGTGTAAGCGAGTGAGTGAGTAAGTGAGTCAAGTAAGCCAGTTAATGCGGCATTTCACTCCTTTCAGACAACTTTTTATTGTTTCGTTTTTCTTTTTCTCTGATGAAAACCGGAAGAAAAACATTAGTTTATCCATTATTACTATTATTACTATTACTGTTGCTACTACTTAAGCGGTCTTTGAACACATGTATGTATGTACGTATGTATGTATGTAAAGCAATTTGTTTTTAATACAGTAGTTATTCAGTAGATGATTTTTTAATTTAAAAAGAAACACTTATTATGCTCTGAAGCCCTTACTTGCAGAGATCGATGAGTCCTCCCTATGTAAGTGTGTGCGGCCACACGTTCATTCAAACTGGTAAATACATTGGGATGCGAAGTCATTTTTCTCATGTTCGAAGGGCTTTCTGCCCTGTTTGGTACAAAAGAGCCTTAGTAAGGTCCTCTTCAGTAGAATCCGACGAATATGCACTGAAGACAGATACACTTGATGAAGAAGAAAGAAAGTTGACACAAACTCTGGTTGGTGATAACAATTATCCAGACAAGTTCATCAGGAGATATAAAGTAGTCAGCGGAACACCAAGACCCACTCTCCAACTCGCCCCTAAGAAAGACGTGTACATCAAGCTACCCTACCCAATATGGGACATCAAAGCAGATTGATAACTAGACAAAGACTGAACGCTGCTGTTAAAAAGACTTTTTATGCAGCTAATATCATAATAATAGAGAATGTAAAGTTATTATATCTATCTAAGCCCTTCGAACATGCGAAAAATGACTTCGCATCCCACTGTATTTACCAAATTGAATGAACGTGTGGCCGCACACACATACACAGGGAGGACTCATCGACCTCTGCAAGTAAGGGCTTCAGAGCATATTTCTAAATGGCTCCAGAAACAAATGGAATCATCCGAATCTCTTAACGGTGAGAATAGGAGACCTAGCTCTTCTATTGTGAAACTTATTTATTATGAAAAAGAGAAGACATTCAGCGAACAACTCTTTTCGCCGGGGAATTCATTCACGTAGCTGTACAATCGAATTTATATATAATTATTTGTGTGTGTGTGTGTATGTACATGAGGTTTGTCAAGTTTAGATATTTGATCAGGTAATAAAAGAATGGTCTAATATAGATAGAAACAAGGTTAATTAGACAGCAACTAAAGTAAGATTGAGTTAGTTAGTAAGTTAGATGACGTAATATAATTGACCAAAATGTTTCAACTTAAGTCAGGGTAGCAACAGAGGTAATTACAGGTAGAGAGAAACTAAGTAAGGTGGGGTAAAGAATAATGCCATTTAGATTAGAACTAAAGTTAAGCAAACAAGTTGGGTGATGTAACATAAAATTACTAGAAATTGAGCGTTGGTCAAGTCAGTAACAGTGGTAGTGAGGTGTAACAATTAAATCAGGTGGAGGTAGAGAACATGAAAGTTTAAGATGTAAAATACTACAATTGAAAAAACAAAATAATACTAATGAAGAGACAGAAGAGAAAAAAAATTAAGTAGAATTTACCTCTCGGGTATTAAGATAGATTAAGTCCATTGCAAGTGTAGTGATCGAACGAATTTCTTCTGTATGCAGAATTCAGGGCTTAGCAAGTGAATCGCCATTGTTTCTGCAGTTTGACGAAGTCTGATTCGTACATCTTTATTGATTACATTTAAAATGGGAGAGAAACGGCTGGTTCATGGTAAGCTGAGATTTCAGGTGATTCATGCTGTTGAAGAATAAGGAGATGCATCATATAGATGTGTATTCAATGTCTGTTTGCTTATAGAAATCAGCTGGAAAAACTACTGTCCCAGTAGCTGGATGGTGACATACGAGCTAGCTTGCCTTGTAACTGGAAGGTCCTGGGTTCGAACCCCCTTGTGGTGGATGCGTACCGTCGATGACTGTTTTCGACATAGAACTTTGCACCGATGTGCACCAGTTCAAGTCGCCACACTTCCTCCATGTAGCACACAAAGCAACAGAAAAAAAAATGCAAAATAGAGAGAGTAGATAGGGATATACGACAAAAGGAATAGTAATAACGAAGAACAATATAGTTTTGTTGGGAATTATAAGTCACAAGGAGTGGATGCATGTGCGCCAACCATTGAGAACAAGTTTGAGCCATATCACCAATTGTATCCAGCCTTCATTGGTTTTTACCGTCCCGAGGACCCCAACCAGTCAGGAAGTCTACACCTCCCTACGTGACTGGCTGGCTTAAACTAACTGTTGTGGATTTCATTGACTGGTGTCATGTTTTGGTTTGACCGCCGCTAGCTCTTTTTCAGCCTGACCTTATATCAGCTAACATTGCACGTTATCGAGGAAGGCATACGTAACACATGCCTTAACCATCTCAGTCGGTGTAACTTCGCAACGTCGTCGATTGATTCCCCCTCCTTACTTAGCAGTTGATGCCTAACGTCAATATTGCTCACTCTATTATACCACTGTCGTTGATTCCCAAAACTAGTGTGATGAAACAGCTGTCCAGTACTCCCTATTAGCTGTCAATGGTTCTCTAACTGATATCAATCCGTCGTCAAACTCGTAAATACCAATTTAATTCTTACAAACCATCTCTTGAAAATATCTATACGACACTGCCTTGAGCTAAGAAGTTGCGCAAAACCTGTAAAACTCTGAACTTTATTCTGCTGTAGTATCATGATGTAGGTGCGTTAGTTGAATGGTAGAATGTTCATCAGTCAGGTAGGGGAGATCTGAGTCTGATTCCCAACTGATGCACTACTCCTATATCTCACTTAGTTTTGAAATAATGGAGAAGATTTGTAGTTCAGATGGGGATGATTTTCATTTAGTTGTGTGTGTGTACTCTGAAGACATCAAATTCACGAAAGAAGAAACATTAATGAAAACAAAACACGTAGTTCAGAGAAGAGTCTCTTTTCTGCGGTGAATTCCTTTTCACATCTGTACAATTGCATATATATATAGATTATTTTGTATGCATGTGTACATTAAGTTTGTCAAACAAAAACCTACAATTGGTTATGATTATTTCAACTAAACAGGTGGAAATTAGTAGGTTTTGGGTAGAGTTACGTAATACAAAAACGGTCAGGAAAATTGGGTGTTAATGAAACTAGTGTAGTAACAAAGGTGATGAGTTATCACAAACAGTTGTTAAAAAGGAGTTACGTAATACTAAGAATAGTTTGATGGTTCAATTGTACTCAGGATGCACTTAGGAACAAAGCAGAGAATACGAAATCACGTAAGGATTCTAAATGAATACAAGAATTATAAATAATTAAAGAAACAGGCAAACAAACAAAACTAAGTCATCAAAAATCAACAAAGTTGATACCATGATAATAGGAGTGGTTGAGTAATTCTCTTCTGCATGTACAGTGCCGGTTTTTCTATGTGAATGGCCAGAGCTTCAACGATACAAAGAAGACGAAACTGTATTGCCTTTGATAGGTTATTTTTGACTCTAAATTACTTTGAAGCAGGAGTCGTTTGTTCAGATGGAATGATCAGCGTTAACCAGGTGTTCAATTATCGCACTCCTTAAAACACCACTATTGCCTTTTCACAACGATGCTGGATAGTGCTCTTGAATCCTCTTGGACAGAACGTGCGTCGAACGACCGATGTACCTGGCTGGCTCTACATCAGTATGTGAACTGATATATGCACACAGAAGTGGTCAGATGCAGGATCTTGTTCTTAAGGCTTGTGCACATCTGTGGGCGACTGGATAAGACTATCCTTAGCGTTGCTGCAAAGAATGTTCTTCTCAGAGACAACAAAATTCCTTTTTAGATGTCTTAATCAAGAGAATTAACACAGGAAAACTGCCAACACAAGTGTACAGAAAATCAACGCACACACACAGATCAAATACTCAACTGTAATAACAGTAATCCAATGACTCATCAAAGAAACTATATGTGAGCGTCGTTTAAAATATTTCAAACACACTGTAACACTCCAGTACTGAAGAGAATGAAGGAGAAATCTCGACTAACTGTCTTCAAGAAGAATGAATACCCTTACAATTTCATAAAAAATGTTTAAACGCACATCGAACTACCAGCAAGAAAACTCCCTCTACCATGTATATAAAGAATATCTCTGAAGTAACGACTAGAATACTAAAACCACGTAGAGTAGACATAGCACACAAACAAACACAATCACTTCATTCAATATTGTATAAATCAAAGGATCCAACAGCAAAAGAGGATAAGATCAATATCATCTACAGAGTAAGCTGTGATAAATACTACATCGGTCAAAGTGGGAACGTCTACTTTGAATCCGAATTCAAGAATACAAATTAGCTGTGAAAAGACACGATATTTATCCTTTCATATCAGTGCATGTGGATAATAATGGACACCAATTTGATTGGGATAGAGATAGAGATGTAAATTAATAAACAATCACGATAATTTTGAATAAAGCAAGAACAACAGTGGTTTGTGCAGAATGAGAAGATGGTGCCATCATTGCTTATTTCGTTGGTTTCTCATCAGTTGTTTATAGCCTAAATAAATTATTATTAAGTTCATGTACAGAAAATTTTTAACATACTTGAAGACTTTACATGATGTCAGTTGACAGGAGGTTCTGGACTTAGTGAACAGTGCTAACCCTGCCTAGGTAAATTCTTGGCAGAAGTTGGGTCTCAGGGCTATTAAGTCGGCTCCCAGTGGCTGAATGATCTACAAGCCTACCTCATATCCCAAAGATCCGAACCCCGGTGGATGCGTACTTCCGACGAATCCAAAACTTAAGCGAAAAAGCTGTACAGTACCCTCTGTTGGTTTTCTAATGGTTGTCTAACTGATGTCAACGCATGTTCAAACCTGTAACCAATCAAATCCCTGCAAACCAACACTTGACAAATTCTTTTAAATCAAATGTTTGTATTTGAACGTCAGATTTCGCTTGAATAATTTTCCCCGTGAACATAATCAATACTTCAAATACATGAGTTGTTGAAAATAGAAGATACATTCGCCGTGTTAAAATCTCAACACATCCCTCAATTCCCTACACATATAAAGTCAACAGACGACAGAATCCAATTCGCTTCTGAGTTATTAGAAAACGAACAGGGTGAGTTGGTTATGCTAGACTGTAGAATAAAACGAAATGGTGGGCTAGATACTAGCATTTATAGGAAACTGACATACTCTCCAGTAAATATTTAGACTTGAACTCATCCCATCTGGAATCGGTAAAGATAGGCTTA